CATGCATGCCAGGCGAACACGCTACCGCTTGAGCCACATCCCCAGCCCCAGTGATGTCTTTTTAAAGTGCCTTTTCAGAGATGTTTTTATCACCTGTAAGCAAATTCAGATACACAAAAATTTATAAACAATATGAATGAAGGCAGAAACAAACAGTCAGCAAATATTTGTTGGGGCCTTACTATGTGTCAGGTACTCTTCTAGGTGGTTGGAATACATAGTGAACAAAGCAAAATTCTCATGAGGCAGACAGTAAACTGTAAAGAAAATAATTAGGTAATTTGTACATTGTGTTAAAAATAAGATCTATTAGAAAAACATCAAAGAGAATCAGTTCTTCAAATTTGGGAAATAGAATACAGTGTTATATAGGAGGATGACTGAAAAGCTAACATTTAAGCAAAGCTTTGAAGAAAGAAAATGAATCTGCCACATAACTGAACAAAGATAAAGACTTTTCAGGTAGAGGAAAAGTGTAAAAGCCTTACGAAGGGAACTGTGGTGAGTACAGTGTGACTAGGGCATAAAGAATAGGAAGGATAGTATAGGATATGATGTCAGTGGGAAGATGAAGCTCCAGATCACCTAAGGAATTTTAGGTCATTAGAAGAAGAGCCTTTGACTCTTAAGAAGAAGAGCAATGGGGGAGGTTTTGAACAGAGGATCACTTCGATATCATAGTGAAAATATTTTGTGGGGRGAGTTGGGTAAGGAGGATAGAATCAGAAAGACCAGATGAAGGTAATACAAGGTATAAAAAGTGTTGATGGAATGGATCTTTGAGGTAGCAGTGGAAGTGGTAAGAAATGGTGAGAYTTTGGATATAGTTTAAAGGCAAGACCAGTAGGCAGTGATAGGGGACAAATATATTCTAAAAATGTGGAAGTTTTTCTTTGTGATAACATTCCTATAGATTAACAGCACATTTAATCTCTCTTTTGCAACATGTGTAGATCTTTATTAATTCTTAAGCTTTGGGGGGACTCTATAAAGTCTTTTTGTTCAGTTAAGTTGAAACTTAATTATTAATGTATTCTGGAGAACCTGGTGGGTTGGAATTTGACAGTCTTTATTCATTCTGTCAAAAATGTCATGATTTTATAGAATGTACTATGTTAGCTTTCTAAATAGATAAGGCTTTTTATTCCCCCCTCTTTTTCAACTGACCTAAGTATTACATTAATCCCTTGAACATTTTCCTAAGTCACTTTCTGACTTTTATCTTTGTTTTGTTAATCAACCCAAACTATATTCACAGATAGGAAATAAGCGGTGGAATTCTTTAGAAGCACCAGACTCAGTTTTGTTTCCATGGGACTTAAAGTCTACCTATATCAGATGTCCTTCATTTTTTGATAAACTTACCAAAGAACCAGTTGCACTGCAGCCTATTGAAAATGCCCACGTCTTATTATATTTGGGAGATGCTGTTACAACAGATCATATATCACCTGCTGGGAGTATTGCTAGGAGTAGTGCTGCCGCTAAGTATTTGACAAATAGAGGGTATGTATACATGGTTTTGGGTGTTTTTGTTTACCTTCTTTTTATTGATAAAGAGGCTTATGCTGTGTTCTTTTATCCAGTAAGTAAATATTTTTCTTAGGTAATTGTTAGTATCTGTGACTTAAGAACTGGGGGAAACCTTTACACCAGTCTTTGCTTATAATTTTAGAAATTGAAATTGCTATTTTAAATTAGGTCCATACAGTCTAAATAAACAACTGATAAACAAGATATTTCTTTTTCAGAGCTACTTTGTTGAAGTGTCAGCTTCGTTTAACCTACCAGTTGAGGCCTAATCATTTGGTTCTAACCAGCTTCCCATTATTGCAGTACAATAAATGGGTGTTTTATGAGCTATAAAATGTACATTCATTAGGCTAGGGTTGATGGTTATTAAATCAAAAGACAACTTCTTTATCTATTTATTTATTTATTTTTAGTTGTAGTTGGACACAATACCTTTATTTTATTTATTTTTATGTGGTGCTGAGGATTGAACCCAGGGCCTTGCACGCGCTAGGGGAGTGTTCTACTGCTGAGCCATAACCCCAGCCCCAAAAGATAACTTCTTGATCCTAAAATTTTATAGAAACAATACATTTGAATGTAAAGGCCATTTATACAGGAAATACAGATCTAAAACCGGAAGATTTTATTTCATTTCTATATGATAATGATGTAAGTTACTCTATTATACAACTTTTTTGCCATTAGGGACAGTTTTGCTAAAAGTAAACTTTGTAGTACTGGTTTCTGATTAGCTTTTGGATGCTTGTATGATGCTTGAACAATTCAAATTGTTCAAGTAGTTTTTTTTAATTGAAATATCTGATAAAAATAAGGGCTATATAACTTGGTTTGACCTGTAATAATAATACATTGCTTTTATTACAGAGTGGTTACAAATTACTTAATCTTTAATCTTCCAGCACTGCAAAAGAAAACAAAAAAAAAAACTCGGTTTCACACTTTTAAAATGTATTATGAATTCTTAAGTACATTTAAATTAGTAGTTATCATCAGAATTTTCTAAAAAGACACCTAAATCTCTACCACTCCCATCCTGAACCAAATGAGAGGCAGATAAAAGTTGTTGTTGAAGTACTTTTGTCCAGTTATTTATCTTTTTAAAAAAGTCATTTATATAGATAAAAGTAAACATCCCTAACACCCACATTGTGGAGGGTTTTTTGGTTGTTGATTTTTTAAAAATTTTATTTAATTTTACTTTTTTTGGTACTGGAGATTGAGAGAGTGCTTTACACTGAGCTACAACCCAGTCCTTTATTCTTTCTCTCCTGCCCCCCCCCCCTTTTTTTTGGAAACAGGGTCTTGCTAAGTTGCTGAGGCTTTTTCAAACTTGTGATCCTCCTACCTCAACCTCCCTAGTTGCTGGGATTACAGGCATGCACAAGTGTTCTCTGCTAATAGGGAGTTTGACTTTATAAATGTTTTCAGCTAAAAAATGAAGAAGGAATGATTGAATTTAGTATCATTGTGTTTTCTAGTCAATCTAWACAATGATGATCAGTCACTGATAACATTCCAGGAAAAGACAACAATTGGATATAGTGTGCCTCCCAACCAAAGTACATATAACCTATGAAGCATTGTTTCCAAAAATTAAAAAACCTAAATCTTATTGAGTCACTGGATCTGATGACATCTGGTTTACAAGAAATAAGAGGACAGAAAAACATGTTATATGATACCATTGGGTTACAGTCAACATAGTCTAGATACAGAAAACTATATAGCAAATGATCTAGTTTCTTTAGATAAAATACAAGGAAGGAGTTGGCAGGGAGGGAACATATAAATTATARCAGACTTGAAATCAACTGAATACGTTTGTAAACTGTACTTACATGCTGATTTGAACAAACCAACTTAAAATAGTATGGAGGGCTGGGTTGTGGCTCAGTGGTAAAGCACTTGCCTCACGTGCATAAGAGCCTGGGTTGATTCCCAGTGCTGTTTTTTAAAAAAAAGTTGGGGAAAAATCAAGGACATTTGACTATTGTCTGGCTATCTGATATTTTTAAAAATTATTTTGAGTTTGTTTTTTTTTTAATGAGGCTTAAGGATGGCATTTTTTTTTTAAGTGTAGATGGACGTAACTTCTTTCTCTTCTCTCTCTCTCTCTCTCTCTCTCTCTCTCTCTCTCTCTCTCTCTCTCAACCCCAGCCCCAAGGATAGCATATTTTAAAAGAAGCCATATGTTTTTTAGAGAAACATTGGAACATACAGTTAGAATATAATAGAGTTTTGCTGAAAATTAATTTACTAGGTGTGATTATAGAGGAAAAAGGAATCTATGAATTGTTTATTATAGGTTGGTGTTAGGCTCATAGATATCTCACTGTTCTGTTTTCTCTATTTTTGTAGTTGCTTGAGTTTTTCCACAATTAAAAAAWTTTTTTTTGAATTAAGTTTYACATTTCAGTAATGCTTGGTTATTTTCCATTGGAGTAAAAACTGACTTTTATAATCTTTTYGTAGCCTTACCCCTCGTGAATTCAATTCTTACGGAGCCCGAAGAGGTAATGATGCTGTGATGACAAGAGGCACTTTTGCAAATATCAAGCTTTTTAATAAGTTTATTGGAAAACCAGCTCCCAAAACAGTTCATTTTCCATCGGGACAAACGGTAAGGATATATACAAAGTATTGAGGCAGTTGCTCACAAAATCAAAATTTGTATTAAAGAGTTTGTGTCTATTTAATCTACAGCTAGATGTATTTGAAGCTGCAGAGCTGTACCAGAAAGAAGGTATCCCACTGATTATTTTAGCAGGAAAGAAGTATGGTTCAGGAAATTCGAGAGACTGGGCTGCCAAAGGACCATATTTACTGGTACTGATTTTTAAAATTTATTTTCATAAGCTTAAAATAAATTTTAATATTCCCCTTTGTCAGTAACATCCGCCAGAGTTTATTTAGCTTATTTGGGTGACCTCATGTTGATGGGTTTCTTTTCAGTGATTTCAGATCATATTTTGTACTCATCTAGTTGTATTAAATACTTTGATTTTTATTAAACCTACATCCTATGTGAGAAAGTCAGTATGACAGAGGGAAAGGAGATCCTGTCTTAAACTATGGCCATATAATAATTATTTATACCTATTGATATTTGTACTTTCCTACTTTTCATTTAATTTTCACTGATTTGCTCTATCAAAGGTTAAGAGACTCAGAGGTAGTAGATCAAATTTCTCTCTCTCTCTCATCCTTGCATGAGAATACATGTATAAACCGTATTCTCTCTCTCTCACACACCAGTCCTCCCCCTCAAATATGAGATGATGGTGCCTGGCTATCTGCTTGGAAGACATTTTTCTTTAGATGGCTTCTTTGTTGCAGGGCAAGTAAGCACTTTGCTGGAGATAATCATTATGTGACRTGTGCTTGCTGCCATTTCATATTTGAAAGTGCTTCTTTTTATAGCTGTAATTGTAAAACAGCTGGCCAAAGTGCAGTCTTCATAGCCTATTATTTATACTTCATTCTTTTTGAATCTTTAATCTCTTCCTTAAAATGTAAACACTCTAAGGAATTGTAGGAATAAACCAGATTATTTTATCTTTAAGTATTACAGGTGTAGGTTCCTTTTATTCTAAAAAAAAAWWWWTTTTGTCTTATTTTTTATGTTGAAGGCTTCCCTGATGTAGTAGGTGATTCTGGCTCTCCAGTCAGATAGACATTTAAAAACTGGGTATGATCTGGATTTTGTCTATTAGTAGGTCTTACATTGGATGATAAACTAACTTTGTCATTCAGAAGCCTATATGTCATTATCTGTTTGAGGCCATTCAGTTTATTCAAGGAAAGAGACTTAATTCAGAATGCAGACATCAGCTTAATCTCCATCTGGCTTTCTCAGGCCAGCCTTCCCCTGTACTCACGTGTTCTTAGCAGGGATGAGTCCTCCCAAGGGGTGAAAATTGCTTCATAGGTGGTTAAAAACATTTTTAAAAAAATGCTGTTTTTATGTAAAGTACAGATAAACATAGTACATAAACAAATACACAGAATGTTTGCAGTATTAAGATTTTGAAAGGAATGGGGGAAAGATGGAGGAAGTTGTCATTAAGGGGGAAAATCTTAAGAGGCTCCTTAGACAATAATGGAAAAAAATTATAGAGCCTCCCTAATTCATTTTCTCCAAAGATTAAACATTTTACTTTTATCAGACTGGGGATTGAGCTAGGGATTGTACTGCTTTTTGTACCTCAATGTTCTGAAAGTTCCATATATCTCTAGTCTCAAGACTTCCTTGAGCCCTGTTTACAGACTGACTTTATTGAGATCACTCTCTAATTTCATCATGCTTCAGTATCAACACTATCTGATAAATCAGTTGCCTATTTCTGTTTTCTAAATATTTATAGAATTTTCTCATTCCCTTTGTTGCTATGAGTTTAGATCATTATTTAAATGGCATTTCCAGAGAGAATGTTAGTGAACATGTTAGATCCATCATGTTTAAACAGAAATCCTCCTTAGGAGTCTACATGATGTCAGAGTAGCCACCTGTCTTCTGTAAATAAAGGCAAAATATGAACTTTTATTAAAAATTCTTATGTGAGTAACTCCCTGAGCTCTTCCTATATGGTAGGCTGTCAATGCTTAACCCTGAAGTGGCAGGGGTAGGCAGAACAACAGGGACCTTTTAAAAAAGGGAAATAGGGGGCAAGTACCAGCCATTGAACTCAGAGGCACTCAACCATTTATCCACATCCCCAGCCCTATTTCATACTTTATTAGAGACAAGAGTTGCTTAGTGGCTCGCTGAAGCTGGCTTTGAACTTGTGATCCTCTTGTCTCAGCCTCCCATGCAGCTGGATCACAGGCATGTGCCACTGTGCTTGGCTAACAGGGAACTGCTACAATTAACTTTGACCTTTTCCTTTTTTTTTTTTTTTTTTTTTTTTT